ATGGTTTCTTTCTTCCTCTTTTGTGTTCTTCCTTTGTCTAGCATAGAGTAGCTTCCCTTTTCACTTGGGTGTTGTAGAACCCTAACTACTATCATCTAATTGATTGTGTGGATTGAATGATTGTGCAATGGTGGTATTTAATTTAAGAATTGAGGTATTTTTCATGGTGATTGTGCATATTGTTTGCTTGGCAATCTATTGTGCTATTCTAACCCAGATTAGAGAGAAGCCCCCTTATCTTAAGAGGCTCAAAATTGAGCTGGGTTTTCTTAGGCATTCCATGCCTCCTAAATAGGTTAATGAAGGGAAAACCTCTATTTGAATTAGACACCTAGATTCATTGTGATTATGTCGTCCAAGCCTTGGTTTGAGGGAGAAGGTAAGTCAACCCTCAATTGCTTGCGCCAAGAGGGCTACAATTGTAGTCTCTAATGCTTACCTTGGCCTAGCGATTGAGAGGATGGTTTCTAACCATTGTTGCACCCCCTACGGGTCACAATTGCCTCGTCACACACCGGTTCATTCGATCCCACGGTTCATGGTAGTTAGTTAGGGGGAAGCAACATCTGAGTGAAGCTTCTCACCAAGAGTTTTCCACACTTATACTTTTCAAAGTCTAGCTTTTAAACCGTAGATTGTACAGATTTCAACAAACAACAATTCGCTAGATAATATTTTAAACAATCGAAGTAGGGGTACATGGGCCGGCCCGGGTTGATATTTAAACATACTTGCCCTATATTTCACCCATCTAAGGTTTATACTTGGGCCTTAGGTGGGATTTTATTGTGATAGTCGAAGCGAGTCAAAGTGTGAACACAAGTCACATGAGGGAGGATTTAAAGTGATTTCTTAAGGGGTTGAATGGGTCAAAGTAGGTTTTACTTTTACTTGTAGGATTTGAGCACTTTTTTGCTTTCTTTGTTGGTTTTGGATTTGTTTTAGATAGTCTATAAATAGGGATGAGTGTTAGCTTGTAATGCATCAATTTTTCAATCAATCAAAGTTAAGTTTCGAGTTCAATACGAAAGAGTTTCCGTGCAAGCTTCTGTCAAGGATTCTGGAAGTTTTCACGTGTCTCTTATCAACTAGAGAACGCATCTAGTTGTGGCGAGCATCTACCCTATCTAAATTGCCCTTTCCACGAGTTGATTTTGTCTGATTGGTTTGATATACCAATTTCCCTTTGTCACGAGTTGGGATTGTCCGATTGATTTCGCATCTATCATTATTTTTTAGTTCAAGAAAGGAGAAACCAAGAAAAGCATAAAAAGATCATTGAAGCTACGTACTTTGGTCATAACATCTGAGTTCGAGGGCTCTCTTTGGATTTGGATCATATCAAGTGGTATCAAGAACCCGATTCAAACTCAGCGGCAAATTGAAGATTACTGGTTCAAACTCAGTGGCAAAAAGAAGAATGAAGGAATTCAAAGCTTGGCATTGTGTCCCCTGTAAGAGTAACAATCACTATAGACGTCTAGATAACTACGAAGGGGAGTATGGAGAACATCTGCAACTTATGGATGATATAGAGATCCCTACTTTTCAAGGTCGAAGTAATTCAGATGCATACTTAGATTGGAAAGAGAAGATGGAGATCGTATTTGATTTCTATGAGTGTTGCGAGGAAGAGAAGGTTACCTTTGTTGCTAGTACATTCATTCATCATGCTCTTGATTGGTGGACTCAAGAATGTTCTAGGAGTTGACTTTTTAGAGAGGAACGACCAACAAAGATATGGAAGGAGATGAAGCAATGCAAGAGAAGGAGGTATGGCCCTACACAATGTGAGATGTATCGAGCACTTGATGTTCTTCGACAAGGTTCTAATAGCGTGTATGATTATTTTAAGAAGATGAAGCGCCTAATGGCTCAAGCTGATTTTAATAAAGATAAGGAGGCAATTATATCTCGATTTCTCAATGGTCTTAATCATGGGATAAGACATGTGGTGGAGATTCAGTCTTTTATTAATTTGAATGAGTTGGTACAAATGGCAATCCAAGTGGAGTAGCAGCAAAAGAGAGGCTGTACATGACGGATTGCTTCTTCAACCAATCCCAGTTTGTCAAGTGCAACAAAGGCTTCATAACCACAACATGAAGATCCCAAGCCCATCCTCAAATCAAATCCATCAACTATGTCTTCAAAGGTGACTTGCATTGAGAAAACTCAATATGATTTTCGTTCTAGTGATGTTGTGTGCTACAAGTGTCAAGAAAAAGGTCACATGGAGAGTCAATGCCCTAGAAAAATTTGTGTTCCACTCTTGGAGAACAAAGAGGACGAGAATGTTCATCTTGAAGAGAGTGACAATGAAGAAGAGCCAGCTAGAGGGGAGTTATTTGGCTATTGTTCTACACCATCAGCATTGCATCTCAATTCCAAAGAAGAGATGGATATGAATGAAGTTGTAAAGAAAGAACAAGAAGATGGCAATGAGAAAGTTGTAGTAGAAGATAAAGTCAATGATGAGAAGGAAGATGCTACCACGAATCTGATTACTTCCCACGAATCTGATTACCACGGATACTAGCGACAATCGGGTGGGGGCGGTGCTGGAAGAGATAGTATACTATGTTTAGGCCCATCCTGGTTTGTCAGTTCGATTTGTAGGTCGGCGTAACAATAGGGTAGCCCATTTGGTGGCTAGAAAGGCCCTTTCTTTGTACCCGACTATGAGTCGTCATTTTGATTTTCGGACCTGGCTTTCTTCCAGGATGTAACTATCGATTTTTCTTATCAATATATGATTATCTTTTGTAAAAAAAAACAAATGAGACTTTTGTAGATTGATCAAGTGGTGGTGGGTTTTTTTATTATACTTTAGGAAATAAAAATCAATAATTGGCTCAAATTCGAGTTGACCCATATTCAACCATTGATCTAGAACCAAGCTGTTGACCAGGCTTATGGGTCCATTTAGATTAACAACCTTAATGATAACAGATTAACATCTAACATTTATTTTGCACTTTCAATGATTTAACTAATATTTACTAAAATGAAATTTTTTGGCGATGATTCTCGCCTTGTAATTGGGATGAAATTCCGAAATACACATGTTTTTTTTTTTAAAATTCCCAAAATACATACGTTATAAAAAAAATTTCAAAATATACATGTTTGGGCATCACCGCTGTTGTCAACTGCAGTGAATGCATTCACCGCGGCAGACCAAAGCGGTGAATGCATCACTGCGGATGATGGCCGCGGTGAATGCCTGATGTAACACTGAAACTTCAAACAAACGTAACTTTGCGCTCGGTTATCCGATTGTAGCGATTTTTTTTATTCCATATAACTTTTCAAGATATTTCAATCTGCAACAAGACTTCATCTATAAAAATGTCGTTTGTTACCCAGAACGAGCAATTTTTCGATTTTGACAAACTTTGGAAGGACATAACTTTGAGCTCCTCAATCCGAACGTCGTAAAGTTTTTTTTTGATTGCGCATAACTTTTTAAGAACTAAAACTTTTACTAGGAAAGCATTCTTTTTAAAAGAAATATTTTTGGGTATACAGGATTTTGGGAATAACTTTGCCTTTACTTTTCACAAATCCACATACTTTCCAAAATTATGGTTATAATCAAAGTTGCAGTACTTCAAAAGTTATGCAAAATCATAAAAATTTTCATGACATTCGGATTGTGTAGCACAAAGTTATGGTCTTCCAAAGTTTGTCAAAATCGAAAAATTGCTCGTTCGGGGTAGCAAATGAATTTTTTTGGGATGAAGGCTTGTTGCAGATTGAAAGATCTTGCAAAGTAATGTGCAATAAAAAAAAATTTCCGCTACAATCGGATGACCGAGCACAAAGTTACGTTTGTTTGAAGTTTTAGTGTTACGTCAGGCATTCACAGCGGTCGTCACCCGCGTTGATGCATTCACCGCTTTGGCCTGCAGCGATAAATGCATTCACTGCGGTTGACAACAGCGGTAATGCCCAATCATGTATATTTTAGGAATTTTTTTTATAACGTGTGTATTTTGGAATTTTTTTTTTAAATATATTTTTTGGGATTTTTCCATTGTAATTGCCTCCCCGCCAGCTGCAGTCCAACTAGAAGCAACTCCGCATCACTTTGAATGGAGAGGCCTGGACGGTTAAATCCGTCCGTCCATACTCCAAATATCTTCCCTTTGCCAGGCAATTGGGGAAACGAAATTTCGGCAACGCCTGACATATGGCCAATCGATAAATAGCTGAAGTGGGACGTGGCCAAGTAGAGACTAAGGTTAAAATGACAGCCTCCCTCAGCTGTACCGTCACCGTCACCGTCACAGCACAGTCTCTCTCATTCTATCGTGGCTGTTTGTTGCCGCCAGGCCCGCCACTACCCGACGGACGACTCAGTCACAGCCCACAGGTGGGTTGTGAGATTCTTATGGCAAACTTGCGCGGTTAATTTAGCATGTGGGGCAACACCGCGTTGCTAAATTCAGTCATCCCTCCTGTCCTGCCTATTTGTTAAGGCCCGAAAGTGGAGCCCACAGCCGCCTGACAATCTCGCCGGAGGAGTAGCATCCACGCTCCAGTGCCGCGTGTGAGCCACTCCTTTCACTCCATCGTTTTCCCAAACTCAACAAACCCCCCAAAACATTAAAATAGTAAAGTCAGTCCAAAAATACTTATATATGTGTCTTTTTTTAATATAATCTCCTCCCTCCTGCAGTCCAAAATACATATTATCAAAACTCAAAAGTGAATAATCGGTATTTCCACAAAAAAAAATAATAATAATAATAATAATAATAATTAAAGAATCAGTATATTATGATAAATAAATAAAAATTAACTAATCAAGTAATTAGCTTCAGCTCCGCAATTCATAAAATCAAAATGAGTCCACGCCAACCCCAACACAACCCAGACAAACACTCTCTGCCTTTCCCTGCGTTCTTCTTCGTCGTCGCCACCGCATATCCGTTCTCTCTCTTCCCTTTCCCGTCAACCCTACCTTTCAGCCTTCTTTCCCAGTGCCGCCGGCCATGACAGCTCCCGAGACCGACCCGGTGGTCGATGGCCCAACCCGGATTCTAACCTCGGTTCTGGAACAAATCCCGGGCGTGGTCGCCTTCAAGGGCAAATGGGCTGTCATCAAATCCAAACTCGACGACCTCCACACCCTGCTCCTCGATTCCAGCGACTTCCCGGCTTCCACTTCCAACCTTCTCTTCCTCGACCTCCTCCGCTCAATCTCCCACACCCTCGACGACGCCGCCTTGCTCGCCGCCAAATGCCAGTCCTCCAATTTCCTATCCGAAGGCAAGCTCAAGACCCAGAGCGACCTCGACTCCGTCCTCGCCAGGCTGGACCGCCACGTCAGCGACGGCGAGCTTCTCATCCGCAGCGGCGTCCTCCACGACGTCTTTTCCGGCTCCTCCTCCAAGCGCGACGCGGTTCGAGCCGAGTCCAGGAACTTGTTGACCCGGCTCCAGATCGGGGGTGCTGAGTCCAGGAACTCGGCGATTGACTCGCTCCTCCGTCTCCTCGGGGAGGACGACAAGAACGTCATGATAGCTGTCGCTCAGGGAATAGTCCCCGTGCTCGTCCGATTGCTCGATTCCAACTCATGGGAGATGAAGGAGAAGACTGTGGCCGCCATTTCTAGAGTCTCGATGGTTGAAAGCAGCAAGCACGCGTTAATCGCTGAAGGCTTGCCGCTGCTCAACCACTTGATTCGGATCCTGGAATCGGGTACTGGTTTCGCCAAGGAAAAAGCCTGCATCGCTCTCCAATCCCTAACCCTTCCCATGGAAAACGCTAGAGCAATCGGGTCCAGAGGTGGGATTTCTTCCCTGTTGGATATTTGTCAGGCGGGAACGCCAGCCTCTCAAGCTTTCGCAGCGGGGGTGTTGAGGAATCTGGCGGCGGTGGAGGAAACCAGAGAGAATTTCATGGAGGAAAATGCTGTGTACGTTCTCATGGGTCTGGCGGCATCAGGGACTCCATCAGCGCAGGAAAATGCATTTGGGTGTTTATCCAGTTTAGTGAAAGAAGATGATGAATTGAAGGTCTTGATTGTTAAGGAAGGAGGGATGGAGTGTTTATCCAATTTCTGGGAGTCATGTCCTCCAGTGAGATGCCTGGAAGCTGCGCTTCAACTAATCAGCCATTTGGCTTCAAACGAGGCAATAGCTGAAGTGCTGGTTTCACATGGGTTCGTCTCTAAAGTGACATCGGTGTTGAATTGTGAGGTTTTAGGGGTGAGGGTAGCGGCAGCCAAAGCTGTTTACCAGCTCGGGTACAGTTCTAGAAGCAGGAAGGAAATGGGTGGAAGTGCAGAAGGGTGTGTGAGCTTGCTGATCAGGATGTTAGATGGTAAAGGAGTGGAAGAGAAGGAAGCAGCAGCCATGGCATTGTCCCGCCTGGTTCTGTGTCCAGGGAACAGGAGGGTTTTCAGAAAAGACGAGAGAGGGCTGGTTACTGCTGTTCAGTTGCTGGATCCAAATGTGGAGAATTTGGATAAGAGGTATCCAATCGCGATATTGTCATCGCTTGTTCATTCCAGCAAGTGTGCGAAGCAGATGGTTGCAGCTGGTGCTTGTCTGCATTTGAGATCGCTGGTCGACATGGAAGTGGAAGGTGCTAAGAAGCTGTTGGAAGGTCTTGGCAAGGGCAAGATTTGGGGTGTCTTCGCCAGACCCTAATAGCAACAACAATAACAGAAAAGCCAGTGAGTGAATTCATCCCAGTCCCACCATGATTGCAAGCTCTGTAATGTACATGATCTCTCTCCTTTGTTTTGCTGGGTATTTGGTTTTGAAGCATCTTTCTTCTTTTGTTCATATGGGGTTGAGTTGTCTTAATTTAGGGATCCACATCACAGGCTGTTACTTAGCACCGAAAGCTCCTGTTTGTAGACACACAATCTTTTGGTGGTTCAACTAACTAAGATTCGGGGTTCCAGTGTTATTTAATGCGAAGACCCAGAAGAGCAGCTCAATAATGCACACTAATGTGATTGTACACCATACTTATTGCTATTTTTCTTTTTCTATTTTGAGCTTTTGACTTGTAATTTCTAATTTGTATATGCTTCCCAAGCTGAAGTGTGAATGATTGAAGACTTGTCAACTGCTGCTTTGTTAAAAGGGTTAATACCTTGTTATGGCCTGAACTATGACCATGTAATCAACTTTGGCCAGTGGTTTGAGAAATTAACATCTTGGCCCGAACTATGCAGCATACTGACAAAATTGGCCTGGAGCGTGGTTTGACCGTTTGTTTGGACGGTTAACACCGTTGACCGTTAGTCAACTGTCCAGGTCACTGCCATGTCAGCACAAAAAAAATATAGTTTCATTTTTCTTTTTATTTCCTTTATTAAATTGAATAATGAAAATAAAAAATCCCCACCTTATCCCTCGCCTTCTTTCCTTTTTGATCAGAACCCAAACAAAACCCTAACCATTATTCTTCTTCCTCCTTCTTCCGGGTAAATGACACATTTGGTCACTGAGATTATTAAATTGTGTCATGTTTAGTCACTAGAAAAAATTAATATCAATTTTGGTCACTCGAATTACCGAAACTGGTCAAATTTAGTCACTCTCCCGTCAGTTTCCGTCCAACTCCATTAATGTAGTTGAACGGAAACTTTTGGGAGAGTGACTAAATGTGACATGTTTCAGTAATACGAGTGACTAAATGTGACATTTTTCAATAATTCGAGTGACCGGAGTTGGACAGAGGCTACAGAAGAGTGACCAAATGTGACCTGTGTCAGTAATTCGAGTGACCAAAATTGATATTAAATTTTTCTAGTGACTAAATATGACACGATTTAGTAATCTCGGTGACCAAATGTGTCATTTACCCTCCTTCTTCCCCAACGACCGGCCGCCTCCATTTTCTTCGATTCAAATGCAGCGGCGGCCGGTCGTTTAAAGACGACGACGTCGCCGCCATCGCACACTTTGAAGATCGAATCCCTACCCAGAACTCTCTCCCCCTAATTAACAAATCAAAACTCATTCCTCCTCCGCCTCAATTTCCCCCAATTCCCCTCCGCCACCGTCGTCTGCAAGTCCTGGAACTTCGAGTTCCATCTCCCGGACTTACCTGCCTCCGAAAGCTCCCCTCCACCGTCCAAAACCTCTTCGTCTTCATCACAGCCCGGGTCGACCGACCCAGCACCACCAAACCTCCAGCTTTGCCAAGTACCGACAAGGCCCAACTGCCGGCTCACCGTCTTCCAACCCCGCCACCGGGCTCTGGTCCAAGCTTCCCACTCTGCCGGTCAACGCGAAGATGAGGTAAGGGTCGAGCTTGTCGCTGGAGAGGCTCGAGACGATGGAGCACTTGGCCGCGAGGACAAGTCGATCTGGGGGCGAGTCAGGGGTCGGAGAAGTCCGTTGAGGTCCTTGAAAATCGCCGCCTCCGAGAAGGAGATATCGAGAAGCTTCTCGAATCCTTCGATTCCGATTGGTGAGGTGTTGACCACCATTGCTTAATTTTGAAATTCCGAGATCTACATAAGGGAGAGAGAGCTTGTTCTTGAGGGATTCAATTAAAGATAGAGAAGAAGCTAAAATTGGGGATTGCATCGAGAGAGATAAAAAAAACCAGAAATCTGGGGGAAAAGTAACCATAGAATCCTATCCAAATCTCGCCCAACTTTTTTTTTGTTTAATTTTTAATTTTTCTTATTGTTATTTTATTATTATAAAATGGTAAATTAAAAATAATTTGAAATTCGAATTTTTTATTTATTCGGTGCTGACGTGGCAGTGAGTTGGACAATTGACTAACGGTCAACGATGTTGACCGTCCAAACAAACGGTCAAACCACGCTCCAGGCCAATTTTGTCAGTATGCTGCATAGTTCGGGCTAGGATGTTAATTTCTAAAACCACTGGCCAAAGTTGATTACATGGTCATAGTTCAGGCCATAACAAGGTATTAACCCTTGTTAAAATGTTTCAATTTTGAGTATGAAATTGCAGAGGCGGTTCACTTTCGCAACCTTTATCTACCACCACTTTCCCTAAGAATAATATAACTTTTCGGGATGAAATTTGCTTTGGAAAATGGATTTTCAGCCTTGATTATCATCCTGATGAGCATCTGCTCAACCTAGAATTTGTCCAAGTCCAAAATTTTATTAAATTGATAGGGATGGCAATTTCGACCTGGCCCGTTTTACCCGACCTGTTTGACCTGTTTTGGGGCGGGTCCGACCCGCCCCGTAGGCGGGGCGGGGCGGGCATGAGTAGTCTCATCGACCCGACCTGCCCTGACCCGCCCCATTCTCGACCCGTTCTTGTCTAAATTACATGTAATCTTAGTCAAATTACTTTGAATTTTCCTTTTATTGCATCATATTTTAGCTATAATAAAGTTGTAAATTAGTGAAAACCTCAATTTCTCCAATAATTTAACAACAATTGTCATAATATTGTTTGTTTTCTTAGTCTTATAATAAAAATAATGAATATTTCTAATGTTTTTCATATAAATTGCATACCCATTGGGTCGACCTGCCCCGACCCACGACCCGTGATCAATTACCCGCCCTGGACCCGCCCTGCCACGGGGCGGGTCTGGGTACCAAGAAACCCGCCCCGGACCTGCCCCATTGCCATTCCTAATTGAAAGCATACCGGTACCCCAGTTACCCTCAATGATGAAACCGATTTCCAACCGAATTATACTCCGGTTCGGTCTGGCCAAACCAAAATATAAGTTGGCTCGGATCGAAAACCTCAACTAAACCGAGCTTTAATTCCCCCCGCCTTTCTCCACAACTTCCTTCTTCATTTATATCCAATCAATTGATAACCTTGAAGAGAGTTGGCGACTGCGAGAGATGAGAAGAGAGTTGGTGATGCTGCGACAAGAGGAGGATCGGCGGCTTTAATTGGTTGCTCGGTCGGCGACGGCGAGAAATGAGAAGAGAGTTGGCGGACGGCAGGAGAAAAGTTGAGGATCGGCGATGCGGCGACGGGGGATGGCGATTGAGTCAGCTTTGTGACTTTCGGGCTATGGCGGTTGGCGACTTCAATTGGTTGCACAGTCGGCGACGGCGAGAGATGAGAGAGTTGGCAACGACAGGAGATAAGAGTAGGGACGGCGATGCAGCGACGAAATTCGAAACGAATTATGGTTTCGAAATTAGGGTTTTTTTTCGAATTTCGAATCGATTAACATTATTTCGGTTTCGGTTCAAGTTTAGTTTAGTTCGAGTCGGATTTGTTTTTACCGAACCGGTTGCTTGCCCCTATTATCATGATAATATTTTTTTTTATGGTATATTAAAATTTCATGAAGTTCGAGTTGAGTAAAGCAAAGAACTTTCGCGCCCCTAAAAAACAGTATTACGATTATCAAAGGTAGCTATTAGCCTATTACAAAACTTCATGTAAGTAAAACTAAGACCCTATATACTGAAAATAACTAACAACCTATCTATCATCCCAAATTCAACTTGTCCAGACTATTTAAAACTCTTGATCACCTTGAACTTGGCTTCGAACAATTATCTTCAATTCATAACTCATATGCTCTGGAGCCTCGGCAACCGCCTTACCAGTTACCATACTTTTGGGCCATGTTATGAAAATCGGGCCGGACCGGCCGGTCTGACCGGAAAAAACCGGACCCGGGCACAAGTCCGGTCCCGGAAGGATAAAAGCGGTTGGGCATGGGGAAAACAAACTGGCGCCTGATCTTTTGGAATTTTATTTACCTAATAATTAAAATAAACATAATAAAAGCAACATAATTATGAGAAGTGACGGTTAACTTCTTCCTACAGCAACATACCTTCTTACTTTCGAGTTTTGACTTTATTTTTTTTATTTTTACTCTATTCTTCTTTCATTTTATTTAGAGCAAATACCGGTTTATGACCGATTTTAATACCGATTAATCAACAGTTATCCGATAAACCTTAAACCTTAAACCTCTCGTTTATCCGGATCGATGTCCGGTTCGGTTTTGACAACACTGCTTTTGGAAACATCTTTCCCTCCATGCCAGGCATATAGCAACACACCAGACTATCCTGTTTACCAATTCAGCATAAGACCGACAGCTCTACTAACTAATACACCACTACAACAACGAATTCTAACTTCCCAAATTTGGCGGTCGATGATTCTGCTAATTTACTTGCAACATATACTGGATACAAGAGCAACTCCCCACACAAGTGATCCACGACTCTCAATTCCACCTGGGTATAACAAACATAATCCAATTACATGCTTACCCCAAAAGAGCATCTTATTCTATAACTTTACACGATTGTTGATGACCAGCAAAAGAATAAACCCATGTCGAGGGATAATGTCTCTACCACAAACCAAAGGATACCACTCTACTTCTGCATCATGCGGTCTTAGGTATTAACATACTCTTTTAACTGAGTATCTCTCCATTTCTTTCCCATCCCACTTTAGTGATGAACCCTCCCCCGTAATGAAGGGTCAAGAAGCATCTCTACATTTCAAGGTTCTCTTCAAAATCCACGATGCTGCTGCTGCATGCTTAGAGGTCGTTTGCTTGTAGGGTTTTAAAAAATGAAAGATTTAGGTAAAACCTTGGGATTTTATAATTGAAGGATTTTGTGGGATTTTGTCACTTTGGATTTGTGTAGGATTTTAAGAAGTTCTTGTTTGTTTGTTGGATTTCATATTGGACTTTTGTCTTTGGGATTTATTAATTATAGGATGAATTTACAATTGTATCCTTAATGATTTGTGTCATTAAGATTCCATATAGGAAAATTGGAAAGAGATAAGGATAGACATGTCATTTACCATCATGGATTTTAGCCTCCCACAAAATCCCAACCAAATGGGTAAAATTTTATAATCCGTGAACCCCAAAATAATCCCACATGCGTGGGGTCCACAGACCATAATCCAACATCACTTTAACAACAAACATGGACTTTGTGCATAATCCCATGGATGTGGGATTTTGATCCAAAATCCTTGATGAAAATCCTACAAGCAAACGACCTCTTAGTATCCCCAATAAAGTTAAGATTTAGTCTATCCAGGAGCACCTAGGCCACCCAAAGGGGACATCCAACGGCTAAGAATTCCTAGAGATGTCGAGTAACGCAAGCCTTATTCCATATTACCAATTTACGAATATCTAACCCACCTTATTTCTTATGGTGCGCTAGAAAGCAAGGAAGTCACAACTCTAGTTCTTGTACTCGAATAATCTGTGTCCTAGATAAACCTACTACAAAACATCTTCACTTCCTTGATAACATACTGAGGCAGTAAGAAGAGGTTCATACAATATTGTAATACACTAGTAATTACATAAGAAACCAATTGTAGATTTCTTGCAAAACTCAGGCAGTTTCCTCTCCAATCTCGAATTCTCTGCGTGATCTTATCTTCCAACACTAAAAAATCCATCATGGTAAGCTTACCAGTAATCATTGGTAAACCTAGGTACCTAACAAGGATGCGACCTAGTGGGAAACCAGAATTCACTAATACAGAGTTATTTCCTCATTTGTGATTCCCCCACAAAATAACTGGCTTTTTGCAGGGTTACACTTTAGACCTGAGAGCTTATAAAAAGAATCCAACCGCCTAGAAATCCTAGCCATTCCATGCATAGATCTATTAGAAAACAACAAACAGATCATCAGTGAAAGTTAGGTGAGTAATAGCGAATGTCTTGCACCTATGATGATACGAGATCTAACACTCATACACTACTTTTTTCATCAGAGCATCCAAACCTGCATAGCAATAGTGAAAAAAATAACAAAACAAGAAATCTCTTTGTCTTAAGGCTCTCTTTATCTCAAAGTAACCACACATTCCTCCATTTATACCTACGCTAATCATGGGAGTGCTTATGCATTGACCCAGTCAAAAAATCTATCAAGGTACCCCATGACTTGCAATACGGAGAACAAGAACCCCCAATGAATAGAATCAAAAGCTTTCATGATATCTATCTTCACATACAACGAGGACTGACAAAGTTTTTGTGACAATCCTCAAATAGTTGTGAAACTAGAAAGATGTTATTACTGATTGAAGGACCTCTAATAAAGGTTGACTGAGGCACAAAGAAAAGTTTAGGGAGCACAATTACTAACCTGTTTGTAAGAATTTTTTATATACCTTGATATAAAGTGTTGCATCAGGAAATGGGACGGAAGTCTCTCATAATTCATCACTTGGAACTTACGCTATCAGCTTAGAAGCAGTAAGGAAGCTCAGATGGATCACAACGTAGCACCTACAACCTTACTCACTTCGTTGGTTGATGACTACGGTGCGATTAAGGTAACCAAGCTAGCCTTGGTTAAATTCGAGACGAGGGAGTACAAAGATGAGATTCTTTGTGATGTTGCACCAATGCAGGCAGCTCACCTCCTGCTGAGTGGTCCATGACAGTTTGATCGAGGTGTAGTTCATGAGGGGAGGAGAAATTACTACAAGATCAAACATGAAGGTTGGAAGATTATGTCAGGGAAACAGTATGGAGAAAAACGGATTGAAGACGTGATTTTGATCACTCTCCTTAGAGTGTTTATTTGCCCCCACTACTTAGTTGCTGGTAGGATTTAGGAAAACCACCCCCAGGAGTCCCTCCAATCAAAGTCAGAAAGCAGCACCTTTCGTGACTTCTGTGTTTGTGTTTTTGGAGAAGGAAAAACGAGGAGAAGAAGATGAACGTTGGACGAGAAGTTCGGCTGCAGAAGACTTTTTATAGTGAAAACGGCAGTTCCCTGCCGAAGGGTTACGTCGTTTCACAAAAGTCAAAATCAAATAATTATCCGGATTAATTAAAATAATTCCGGTAATTAATTAGCCAAAAATTCAAACGTGCAAAGTGCGTAGTGCGATTTAATATGTCAAATTAAATAGCCCACACTTTTTCCAAAAGCCCACTAACCACTTTATCCAATAACTAAAGTGGAAAGCAAACTTAAAAACAACTTGCACTTTCCTTCTCCCACCAATGTGGTATTTCCTTTACTCTTTGACTACTCTAACAGATTAATCTCAAACCATTGTTACCAGCTAAAGTCCGAGAAGATCAACAACATATGGAGCTAAATTGGGTAAGGGAGAAAGGAAATGCAAGTGGCTCGAAGTCGAAGGACGGAAGTGGAATCCATCTTATGGCTCGAAGACACATATTGACCGATGAGAAGAATTTAGGCGAGAAGTTCTGGTGATGGTCTCTCTTGCAGTAACACACAAGTTTTGAGGGCAAAACTTCTTCATCGAGGAGAGACTGATGCAATTCCTCGATCGACCCATAATCAGAAGGCAGCGATCGAGGTTGACGGACGGAAGACCCTAGGCCAGAAGGGATCAAATCCCCGACCGAGAATAGGAGAAGGAGACCCCTTGGTTGGGAGGATTATATTCCCTTATCGAAGATCAGAAGGCACTCGACCGGGGATCGGGCGCTGACGGGTACAAATGACTTTTTGTGTTCAGATTTTTTTCCCTTTTTGTTTTTTTTTGTCTATTTAAAGGCTTAGACTCAAGTTTTAGAGGAAACTTTGAAGATTAATGATTTTATTCTTATTCTTTTGAGTTATTTTTAGCTTGTGAATTGTACTTTTGTATCAATAGAGTATTCCCCTTGATTGTAGTTAAGCTTCTATCTTATATTGATTGAGCCTTCTTTCAAATATGAGATTGCACTTCAATTTTGTTTCATCCTTAATCCTAATCTCTATACTTGACTGAGACTTTGATTATTACGCACACTAGAGGTGGCAAATGGATTGGATTGGTGGATTGGTGGATTGGATTGGTGGATCCATGGATCAAATGGATTGGATCTAATGGATTGGTGGATTCATGGATTGGATCAAGTGGATTGGTGGATTATCCATGAATCCAAATGACATCCTCAATCAAGGACCAATATGTAAAATGTAAAAAGTTTAGGTACTAAAATGTCACAATGAAAAATTTTAGGTACCAAAACGTAATTTTCCAATGATAATTTTTGTATAAAAAATTAAATTTTAGGTGCCAAAATGTAAAAAATAAAAATTATAGGTACTAAACCGTAATTTGCCAATGATCCATGGATCCAATCCATGAATCCACCAATCCAATTGGATTTGGATCAAATGGATTGGATTTAAATGGATTGGATTAGGTGGATATTTTTAATGGATTGATGGATTGGATTGGTGGATTGGATTGAAATTGCCACCTCTAACGCACACCGATTCTGTGATCGTATCTTAGATGCCCACTACAATATGTCATTGCCGCACCGGTGCCTCATCGAAAGGGTTTAGCGGTGGCGATTGCGCATACAAGAAAGAGCAATAGAGCGTCTGAGGAATTTTACTATGCTATATAACATTGGTGCTATAGGTTTTTGCCTTTATGGTATAACTCGAAGTTGTACCTTTAACGTTATGGTACAACTTTAGATTGTACCTATACTCTTTTGTACAAATTATTTCATGGTACAACTTGAACTTGTACATTTATGTGATGATACAAATTCTTTTATAGTACAACCTAAACCTATACATTTAATATTATGGTACTAACTTCAGTACATTAAAACACCCATACTTTAGAGCATAGTAGAATTGCTCTAGAGCTCGTATTCTTTCCCAGATTTCTGAAATATTGTGACAGCCGAAAACTTTTCCAATTTGTTTTCATTTACTTTTTCCCCCTTCTTTCCTCTTTCTGCGGTTGCTTCTTCTTCACATCTTCTCCACTCTACCTTTTTCCTTTCCCCTTCCCCCTTTTGTTTCACGGCGTTCTTTGATTTCTCTAGTTAGCAGCGAATCGTCTGATCGATTTCTCTGTCTCTCTCCGCCGCGACATGATCGACTTCGCTCGAGTTCAAAAGGAGCTCCAGGAATGTACTAGAGACATCGAAGCCTCCGGCATCAAAGTTTCCCCTAAATCCGACAGTCTGGCTCGCCTCACCGGCACAATCCCTGGCCCTATTGGCACTCCTTACGAAGGCGGCTCTTTCCAAATTGACATCTCCCTTCCAGGTTTTCTCGCCTTCCCCTCTTGTTGGAAATGCTAATCATTCCCTTCTTAAAATTTCGCTGCCATTAAGGATCTTAATGGTGCTTGCTTCGTAAACAACAATGAAAATTTCACCTGTGGGTACTGGGGTTTAGAATGATTGTGGCCAGAGGGTTCTCTTCAGTTTTGTGATACTGTTGAGTGGAATGAGCTACAAAGAACGAACCTCTGCGTATAACCCCTTGACTTTTAGCTCTTATTTTGCAGATGGCTACCCATTCGAGCCTCCCAAAATGAAGTTCGTTACCAAAGTCTGGTAAGGGGCAAACTCTCTAGTCACTTATTCTCTCTGCCAACGTTGATCATGCGTAGTTAAGTTTGCATTGGATGGAGTGTTATTTTTGATTGATCTCGTCATGGCCAAAAAAAGTTGCTTTCTTGAAATTGTAATCTTGATCATGTACTCCTGATGGTGGATGGCTCATTATTGCTTTATCCCCGTTTCTGAATGTTCCATTGTTTGATTGCTGAAATTAATCAGCCTGCAGTAATCTGTGTTGAGGTTCAAGTTAGCTTCTTCTCTTTAGGACATTCCCCCTCTCTCTCCACGCAATTGATACCTGTGTTCAGTGAAATTTGACAAATGGCTGAGATTGTATCTTGCTTCCTTCTCCCTTCATTCCGTTGCTTAGCATCTATTCAGGAAGCTTTGTTTGTTTGATTAATCATGCCATGGTGCTATGATGAAGTAAACTGGTTTTCTGGTATCTCTGAACACTACTTTTGATAAGGGGTGTGAACTAGACAGGTAAAGTTGTTAATTGTTGAAGAGAATGATATGGCACTGTCTTATTCTTTGCTACACTGTGGCTGTCTTTGAAGGCACCCAAATATTAGCAGTCAGAGTGGAGCTATTTGCCTAGACATCTTGAAAGATCAATGGAGTCCAGCTCTAACTTTAAAGACAGCTCTGCTTTCAGTCCAAGCACTGCTCTCTTCTCCTGAGCCTGATGACCCTCAAGATGCAGTTGTAGCACAGCAGGCATGCTCCTGACTAACGGGCAATAACTTTGTTCATTCTCATCTTTCCTGGGCTTGCTTCCGGTTCTAGGCCATCCACGTGTTAACCCTCTACTCAAATTCCTCGTATGCTGAATTAGTCTGTGGTTAAATGCAGTATCTCAAGGAATACCAGACCTTTGTTGGCACAGCTCGCTACTGGACTGAAACTTTTGCTAAGGCCTCCTCACTTGGAGTTGAGGAAAAGGTACCTACATCTTCAATGATATAATCCTATTTATTCATGGAAAAATAAACCGGCTGATTTGATCCACGTTCTGTTTGTTATAAGAGAAAATTAAATCGTTGGCCTGATCAATATGGTGCTTGGTTTTTGCATTCAGGTGCAGAAACTTGTTGAAATGGGATTCCCAGAAGCATTGGTGAGGAGTACACTGGATGCTGTTGGTGGGGATGAGAACTTGGCTCTGGAAAGGCTTTGCTCTTGAAGACCAAGCTTGCATATCATCGGGTGTTAACTTTTAAGTTATCACCAATATCTGGGTATGAATATCATGTATATAGGCTGATCTCTCTTAGTTTACTTTTGAATCGTGAAAAGTTCGCAACCCTTTTGTGATGGTCCATCCATTTATTGGCAACTTTCTGCAAGGATAAAGATTGCCTGAACCAATTGCGTGTTCTCTACCAGTTCTCAGAATGAATGAATGATTGGAAGGAGGAAACTTGATATGCTCGCATCGTATTTACTCTGTATTCTGTTCCGCTATGTCATTATCCATTGATCAGTTTGTTCCTACACGGTAGTTTCCCCAAATTATCTGTAGTAACCAGGCGGGGCTTTCGCTTTTCATGGAGCCAGTAGAGCATGTGCAAGTCCAATATTTGAAATAATGCTCTTGGTAGTAGCTTATCTTTGCGTAGATTATTGCGGCATGGGTGGGAGATCGTCATGCCCCACTGAAATTTCCAGCTTCTCTAATCAAAAGATGCCATGGAGAACGGGGCTTACAGCTCAGACATTCGTTTGGACCAACGAGATGTTGTTTTAGAGAGTGAAGCTTAAAATGATTCAAGTTGGCTTGCATCTCCAACAGTTTGGAAGCGGGTGGGAGCGGACTGTTGGAGCCGCTCGTTCATCATGGTTCATGGACACGCCAGCCAGCCAGGGTGAGAACTTTGAACAAAACATAAAGAAACCGATGTCAACACTTATTTTCTTGGCAATATGCACTTGTATAGCCAAAATTTTCATGATTGTGTCAATAATAGTTAAATTTGTAGAAATACCACTTATAGCTACATTTTAAAGTTGTTGATGGACAAATCTAGCCATCTCTGTTAGATACTTTATCGGCGTTATTAACACAGTCAACTTAGCTAACAACAAGCTGATTAGGCGCCAACTAAGCAGACACGTAAGCGCCAACTGGGCCAAAAATGAGACGTGTGAAATTAAAAATAATTTTAAATATCCCCCCCATATACCCCTTCTACCTTTCACGAATGCGAGTTGTCCCTCTTTCCCGATTTCGCTTTTAGGGTTCGCCCCATCCTGGCGATTGAAGCTCCTCCCGGCGATTGACGCTCCTCCCGCCGGCTGAAGCTACTCCCGGCGACTGAAGCTTCACCCGATGATTGAAGCTCCACCCGACGACCGAAGATTCTGGCTTCACGAGTACCTAGATTTGTGGTCGACCGAGTACCCAGTTTGACGAGCTCTGGCAATTTGGCGTGCCAGAATCACGACAAAAGCGATTTGCGATCCAGCCTGCCTTTTGTCTTAGGCGATCAGCTTCTTTGCCGATTCTCCTCACTGCCCAGGAATTCAATTGACGTCCCGCCATATCGAAGCGAGGTTCTTCTTCAACTTCCACAAACATCAACAGTCGTGGGGTGGTAGTTTGCAAGCACAAGGTGCCCTGTGTGGTCAATACCTCTGGTACGGACATGAACCCAAGCAGGCAGTTCTATGGGTACCCATATTGGATGGTAATGTAACCGGTATATGGTTTTTATAGTTTTGTGGTTGCCATTGATGTGTGTGTTTGTTAAGTATATGCTTCTTATGGTGCAGAACGAGGAAAAAACACCGTGGTTTCTTTAGGTGGGTACATGGGATGGTTGATGAAGTGGAAGAACAACACTCTGCGATTGGGAGTTCTCAGCTGAAGCTCGAAGAAAGCTTGCGGGTAGCTGAGTCGAAAGTGGAAAGGAAGAAGAAGGTGTTAGAAACCGACGAGTTGGGTCGGTTGGGTGAGGGGTGGCAATTTTGTTATTTTAATTATTCCAGTTTAGTATTTAAGAGGAGAGAACATTATTTTTCAGATTAGTGAATAATCAAATTTCAACCTAAATCCCTAATTCCCAATTCTCTCTCTCTCTTGTTCTTCCCCAATCTCTCTCAAATCCCTAATTTCTTCTCTTCTCAATCCCTAATTCCCTTGTGGAACTTCTTTGTTTCTAACAGAAGGAGAAGAAATTTTCGGTTGAAGAGTTGTCAAGTTGGATGAAGACTCAAGAAGTTATGGTAGCTGAAGGAAGGAGAGTGGCTAATGATGTCCGTCTCAACCGATAGTTGTACTGAACTTCTTATTGCTTGTTATTCTGTGACAACACTAGTTTGGTATGTAGAAGTAGTTGACGTTGTAGTAGGCTTGCTTCCAATTGAAATGTGAACGATGAATCTGTTATGAAATGGGAAAGATCGGTCTGTTATGTAGAAGTTATAGTTGCAAGGCAGCAATTGACCCGAAATTGAGATAGCAACGCACTAATTGACTTTACACGAATACTGACATAATATGCATAAATGGCAAAAGCCTAATATTGTCATTACAAGCTAGTTGTTCATTACATAAGATATCAGAAGCCTATCAGAATAGACAACACATTGAAACCGTTGTTTGCTGATTGTGCATAATTACATAACATTCGATTACAAACGACTAACATAATTGGCCATTACATCTTCACGAAAATAACTCTAGTGAGGTAGCTTAATGGCCTATGATAAAAAATGAAATCCCAGACGTCTAAGGTTGCGTATTGGGGGGCTGGCTTCCATGCATCTCGATCTCAGTGGGTTGAGAGCCTCGTACTAGGCGTCCTTGCGTGCCAGAGCTGAAATTATAACATTTTATAATCAGAATGTGTGTAAACAAAAAGATAAGTAATAATCAGTATTGTGGAATCCGATACTAACTCTAACGTATTGGTTCCCAGTAGCCTCGTTAACGTATACTCTTATTCCGGTTGTGGCAACTCGCAATTCACGTTCAATCGTTCTTCAGTCGCTCACATTCAGCCTAACATCCTATGCATTTCAAAAGCGATACTCACCAGTGGCTATAGACGAGGGAGCTCAGTAATCCCCCTTTTCTATGTGATTAGGGTTTCTTCGAAGCGACCTCCTCTCCTCACATTTCTAGGGTTCGATTGTGAGGTCTTCTGCGGAAAGGAAGCTAGGGAGGAGTCGGCCTAAGCTCGTCGCGAGTTGGTCAAGTCACCGGATGCATGTGGGTCTTCGTCGAGGAAGGGGGTGACTCGCTAAAACACAACTCCTAACAATGGCCAAGTGTAACCAATGAAAGGGACTGCAGTATAGTGGCTCAAGTAATAAATATCGAATCCACGGGTCTCTAGAGTTACTATTACTCAGCTTCAGTTCATTATCTAGCAAAAGAGATCAAGATGAAAGAACTAAAACTACTCTAGCAAACTACAGTTAAAGTTAATCTAATTACAGGTTGGGAACTCACTTAGGTATGATTCCCCCTAGCCACTAGCCAGATTAACGATCGATGATTTCTAACTTGTTTCACTTCATTCACAATGCGGAGAATCCTTGACTAGACCTTGAGTCTCGACTAAAGGAACAAGGCCCTCTTGATTCAATTGCCTAGAGGGACGTATCCTTCTCTAGAACAATCGATCAAGGCGTTCTGAACTAGACTCCCTCTATCGAATGAGGTTCTCAATCGATACAAAGTAGTGAATCAACCCTCGACTAAAGCAATCGATCCACTACTATCAATCTATGGTGCTCTATTGACCTAATCAGGTATTCGCTCTCATAGGATCAAAGCAGAATCAATAATCTCGACTAAAGCAGAATTGAATCGTGAAAACATGCATAGATTGAATATGAACTCAAGATTATCAAGTCAGAGTACTCATACAATCATCCAATCAAACAAACATAGCTAGGGTTCCTCAAAACCTAAGTGAAGGGAAGTTACTCCATAGAGAAGAGAGAGACTGCAGTAAGAATCTTCAGATGATCAGTCTTCAAGTCGGGGCTTGATTCCCGAGCTCCAATGGCGAAGAAATCCTCCAAAATAGCTTCAAGAATGTTCCCAAGTCGCTCTCTCTCTCTAGGGTTCGTCCCTTGGGTGTTTGGGATCCAAAACCCAGCTCTCTCCCTTCTTTTGGCTGAAAATCGGGTTTTAAACAGCAATTCCCGACTCGCACGGCCAGGGTGCACGGCCGTGCACATCACCATTCTGGCCGTGCACTCCAAAACGCGGCGTATCAATAAGTCGAACCTCAACCAACTCGCACGGCCAGGATTGCACCTTGCACGGCCGTGCGGATTTCACTTGTGCCCGTGCGTGCCCACGCACAATCCCGCACGGCCAGGCTGGTCACTTGCACGGCCGTGCGTGGCCACGCACAATCCCGTGCGTGCCCACGCACAATCCCGCACGGCCAAACTGGTCACTTGCACGGCCGTGGGGGTTGTGGGTGTGCCCGTGCGACTTCCTCAGAACCTTGCCATGCGTCCGATCCTCGTCCAATCGACCTCAAACTCGCTCCCAAGCCTCCATTCACGTACTAGGACCTGAAATATCATAAACAAGCACAACCTAGCGTGAAATCGGCCTAAAACACGAGAATCAATACCTCAAACGGAGTAAGAGCAGGGGTAAAAACATGTGTAACTAACGGTCTATCAAACTCCCCCACACTTAACCGTTTGCTTGTCCCCAAGCAAACCTTACTCAAACCAATGCAACTCTCCAGACCTCTATAGCAACAAAAAACCTCGATCGTAGGTAGAGGACTTCCTAGATCATTTAGCAGCTTACGAGGTCAACCGACGCACAAGTCATCTCATAGCTTCTTCGGCGAGAGTACTAGTCTCGAGTCGGCATCATGGCAAATAGCGAACAGAGGACAAACGAATCGTGGATGAAGAGACTCTCAAAAACAAAAGATCATGGACTCACATTTTTCAAGGTGCTCGATTTTCTTTTTGGAGATGGTTGGAACCCCTTTTCTTTCTTCTTTTTGCTTGTTTTTCTGTTTTTCTCTTTTTTTTTCAAGGGTTCCAACCTGTTTTTGCAAAAAACGAGGGCTCCCACCTAGCAAAGGTTTTGCGGGAGCCCGGCTCTTACCGGCCATGCCAGGAGCAGTTGTCTCGAGCCTCGTGCGGGGGAAAGACATGTAAGGGGGCTGGAGGTAGTAGGTGGAAATTGGGAACGGATTCCCGTCTCCCCTTACACACTTTCGCCCTATTCGCACGGGAGACGTTATTTTAAAGCACATTTCGAGCACCTGTTATATTCAAAACATGATACAAGAGTCCATGACAGGCAGAGAGTCCACAACACCACACAATTCAAGGGTCCTAAGATCACTAATTCACTCAATCAACCAACACACTATGAAGAAGAAATGAGACGTCTTAAATGCATCAACATCCTCCATAGTGCTACACTACCTCCCTAGGTTGCAAATCACTACAGAGACTGTCAATTCAAAGCATACTGAGCAGGCAA